CAAAGGGGGGGGGGGGGTATTAACATATTAACATGTTCTTATGCACAGTTGAATTATAAATGGGCTGATTTATCAATGTCATGCTCATACTGTGCTGGAACGATATAGATATTGGGGAACTGCTGCTTTATCTTTCCTCATCCTTACTATCGTAATTTTCCCTCTACTTCTTTTATGTGTTAGTCACACTCTTGTGAATTGCTTTTCCCGGGGTGCCTTGATAGTTGAAGCAGACTTTGTGCTGTTGAGGCTAGAGAGGTGAGCAGAGTAAGCCTGATTCCCCGTTTGGACCTCTCTGCTGACATCCACCCCTTGGCGCTAATATGACCTAATGCTGTTGTGAGTGCCGTGAAACCTTATTAAAACAAAACAATTATTTATTGATAACATTGCAGACATACTTTTGTGCATTACTCTCTGGTCACACGTCTGATCTTCGGCGCTTATAATATGACCTGTTGCAAGGGGGAACTTATTGTAATGGAGCTAAGCCCGTTTGTGGGGTCAGTAAAAACTCTTTACACAGGTGCCCATAAAATCTATTTAAAAAAAAAAAAAAAAAAAAAAAAAAAAAAAAGATTCAGACAAGAATTGTCCGAAAGGGTTACATGCGCATATTTTCAAAGTTCGGAAACTTCCTTTTGATTTTCCAGGTTTGACGGTTTTTCCTGTCAATCGCAGCTCTCAGATGTTTTCACTCTGCCATTTGCCATTTAATATTTTACTGGTGACTACTTCCGTTTCATATTGCTTTCTTCGTGCGTGTGAGTAGTTTGCAAGAACAGAAGTGCGGATAATACTAATCCTGTTATCTATTTATACGTCTATTATATATTTGGTAACTTGGAAACACGTCGTGTGTCATTTTTCTCTCAAGATTTATAGCTCCATTCCAGGTGAGTGTAAATATAGTAGGCCACTAACTTTCTGTTGATGTTAATGCACTGATCATTCCTTTCGTCGAAAAGGAACCCAGCTTGTACTTTAAAAGACATGTCTGCTTTTCTCCAGTTTAGTCTTCTAAATAAAGATTTCACGACAACTTATTGCTGCCTGTGACTGTGGTGTAGCCGTTAGGCGCTTTGCTGTCGCACGCAAGAGACCCGAGTTCGACTCCCAAGTGAGGACAATTTATAGCGAGGATTTCTATCTTTCTGCTGTTATGTTGCATCCCTCTCAGCCTAGGCTGGCCTTGATATGCAGGGTAGGAAGCCCGCCTCCTAAATTGTCTAAATTGTGTTAATGGGAGAGTGAATAAGACCAACAGTTATAGAGCAGTGGGTGGTACTGCGTGTTTGTAAGCTGAAGCTTCGGTTTTAGTAAGAGTTTTACGGCACTTGCAACACAATAAGGTCATATGTGAGGCGTGCTTACAAAATGAGTTACTTCTCACAATCCACAAATGAAGATGTTGGCCAAAAATCGACATTAGGATCAAAATTGTAGATTTTCTTTTGATGCCATATTCTTTGACTATAACCTGTCTTTTATTATTTCATACCTATAAATTGTAAAAACTTCACCTGTAAGCGTGATGTATCTATTTCCTTAAGGCTTGAATCCGAGACGTAATTCATTTTGTCAACATGTAAGTGCCGAAGAATAGATGTGTTACAAGGGAGTAACATGTACTATACAAAAAAGGAGGAGAGATAAGAACGATATATGTCTAATAGGAAAGAAGGAGGAGAGATAAGAACGATATATGTCTAATAGGAAAGAAGGAGGAGAGATAAGAACGATATATGTCTAATAGGAAAGAAGGAGGAGAGATAAGAACGATATATGTCTAATAGGAAAGGAGGAGAGATAAGAACGATATATGTCTAATAGGAAAGAAGGAGGAGAGATAAGAACGATATATGTCTAGTAGGAAAGAAGGAGGAGAGATAAGAACGATATATGTCTAGTAGGAAAGAAGGAGGAGAGATAAGAACGATATATGTCTAATAGGAAAG